TAGAAACGTCTTCGCGCTACTCGAATCAGTATTCCGATCTGTTCCAGCTGTTACTCGGAAAGAGAAAAATCCAAAAGAAAGGGATTCTTGTAACTATGAAACATTCTCTACTGCATATGAGTGAATTGCATTGGCATTGTACCGTTTCGAAAAAAAAACGGAAAAAAACAATTTGCGAATATAAAAATTCTGAATCATATATTAGATAGTACTACTTTCGAGATTTATGGAAAAAAAAATTCCCAGCACTTGGTCGTATATTGACTGAGAAATTTGATTTTTTCTAGAGCTATACAATCTCTGAGTATTGTCAGTAAAAAACGAATGGATTCGGATGTTTTTTGAATAACATCTGACAGAAAGTAGCTAGAGAACTTCGACCGTCGCCATGCGAAAGAAGAGAATTGCTGACATGCTTTCACAAGCATAAACTTTTCCGGAAGTGTTTTCGCAAACAGGTTTTCTGGGAGATCTTTGGAAAAGCAGACCGTGTGTAAAACTTTTTCAATAGGATTGTATTGTAAAAGTAAAATTACATTTTTTCATGCTGTGATAGCCCAAGATATCCACTTCAAAATGAGAATCAAGTGAGACCTTGATTTTCTGCGGCTCGGGTGTTGTGTCGGATTTCCTGCGAGTCCTAGGGCTGGCATCCGGTGACTATTGATAGCCTTGAAAACAGATGGACTATAAGTAATCAATCATGCTGAGTCTTGTGGCAATATTTGTGTTTAGAAAAAACCTAAAAGACTACCAAAAAGCGAGTTTTAGGAAATTTGGGTTTTCAGGCTGCTTTCACCTTCTATTAAAAAATTCACTATTCACTCAATAAACATTAGAACGAGTTCAAACCTTCAAGCGTATAGTTAATTTTCTCCGCTGAACATGATTATAAAATCGGAAAAATCGAAAAAGCATATTTATGTTAATGAGTTTTTCAGAAACCTTTTTGGAAAACCTTAGGATTTGTAAATTTCTTTTGAGATCTCCTATACATAGGATATAGAATAGCTTAAATACTCTACATTCTGAAGTCTCGAACTTGTTCTGATGTTTATTGAGTGAATAGTGAATTTTTTAATAAAAGGTGAAAGCAGCCTAAAAACACAAATTTTCGTAAAACTCGCTTTTTGGTAGTCTTTTAGATTATTTTCTAAAAGCAAATATTGCCACAAGACTGAGCATGATCGATTATCTATAGTCCATCCGTCACATCTTCGAAAGACGTCTCTATTTTTCTCTTTCTGTTCCATAAACTGATCAAAATTCTTGTGGAGATTCTTGTCTCTTACCATTTCAGACAAGAATCCTCAATTTTTTCTTGATAGATCAGACAAGTCTTTTAATTTTTAATTTTTTATCTTTTCGTTAAAGATTCTTGTCTGAAGTGGCAAGATTCTTGTATGAACTCATAAGAAAGTGATTTCCTGCAAGAATCTTGTCTTGCAATTCTTAAAAAGATCTTCCATACAAATAGAAAGCATATATAATCCATTATTCGTCCTCTTTCCTTGTCATATATACAGGCACACGTAAAGACTCGATTGTCTCTCGACAAGAGACTTATGAGATTTAAAAGACTTTTTAAAGACATCTGTGTATAGTATTGAGCTATATTATGTAACTTATATATACCACGCACGGGAATTGACAAAACAAATTGGTGATTTTGGCGTTAACAAATCTTGTACTTCAGACAAGAATGTTTAACGAAAAAGATAAAAAATTAAAAGAAGAATCTTGTTTGATCTATCAAGAAAAAATTGAGGATTCTTGTCTGAAATGGCAAGAGACAAGAGTCTTGCAAGAATATCCATAAGAACGTCGACCAGTGTATGCAACGGAAAGAGAAAAATAGTCTTTTTTTTACGTTCGCTTTTTCTTCTGGTCAGCTGAGAAAGAATAGAGTTTTCTCTTTCAGCGTATCCTGATCTTTTTCTTGATGTCGCCTTTTCTTTTCTATATGTATCCTCATGTCAAACATACACCTATCTACATGCGACATCAAGAAAAACATAAAGATACGCTAAAAGAGAAAACTCTAACGTAAATACATTTTCTTACATTTCCAATCTTTGTTAGATGTCTAGTACCTTGTGGCTATTCATTTGTTTCATTTTACGAACTTTCATTTATCATGAAAGTGTCTAGATATATTTTCAAACAAAGTGAAAGTAAATAGACAAACTTTCACAATTTGTGCAAATATGCGTCAAACTTTCTTTTGGCATGTATATGAGACGTTATATTTTACTAGAGCCTTGAACAAGAAAAAAAAGAAATGTCAAAAGTTAGAAGGAAAACAAACCATAACATTTATAACTACTGTTACATTTTTCTGGATCCTACTTCTTTCACTCTGGCTCCGTCAAATAAATTTTCTCGGTTTGTAAAAAGTTTTGTCTAAATCATTCGAATGTCTACTACTACTACGCCATCTCCTACATCAATGACACAGCAAGTCACTTCTCCATCTCCACAAACGAGTTCTTCTGTTCATTCTACTTTAACAAACCGTCCAGCAGTTAAAAGAAAAAGAAGCTCAAATCTGTGATTTATGTTCAAAATTTAACCAAAAGATCACATTACTGCAGACCCAAAAGTTGACTGGAATTTGTCTTTGTGTTAACTCCGGAGAAGATAAAAAGCATGAGATGTGAGACAATGATGATGTACCCATAGGCAAGCAGAAAGAAAATATCAGGTGGTTATCATCAGCATTTTTTTTTAAAACAAATTTTGTGAAATCTGAAAGTGACACTTTCGCCTTAACATTTTTTTTTCGTGAGAACACATGTCGTGCTATATATCAAATGTAACAATAAAAGAAAACTATAATAACTAGACACAAGACAAAAAAAACGAAGAAATATAACGTTCTTCTTTCATCTCATCTCTAGTTATTCATTCTCATTTCGTCCAAATGAATCACTACACTATATCGATAACCTAATAGAAAACAACAGGAGTCTCGTCTGACGTTAACATACGAAAAGAATGGAAAAGTATAAAGTTAGTCATTCGTCTCATATCTAACGACGGCCTATCACCAGTTTTTGTGCTTGAACATTTTCTTTTCTTTTCTTCTCTTTTCTGTCTAAAGCACGAAAAAGAAAGAAACGAAGACCTACATTATTTGTACGTCTGCTATACAAAGACCTACTGATTTGCTACGGCTATAATAGAATAAAAATGCTACGGTTCTAATAAATATACATATACGTTTATGAAGGTTCTATTCACACTATCTATTCTTTATCTTAATCAGAACGCATAACATTCGACTTCAAGTTTAAAGTTATTTCAAGTAAGTAGTTGATTTTCTTTTTACAACAATAAATCAACTCTAACAGTTATAGTTAATTTGGAATGACAATCCTTCCAAAAAATGTTTTAACGGCACCGGTTGTGCACGGATGCGTACCGGTGCCAAATAGTTTTTTTTCTGGGTACGGATGAGCATCGGTGCCAGAAAGAACGTAAAAATCTCGCACCGGTGCCCACCAGTCCCGACGTTTTGTTTTCAATCATCATTTCGTTTTGTCAATTTCTCTCGATATCAACTGTACAGTATTCTTCTAATATTTCGAATGTCTTTCCAACTTCATAGTTTCCTTCTCATAAGAGTACCGAGGCAATGCCGTATTGTTTTGGCATGTTAATGTGGTACTGACCAGTACCGCACCCTAATACAAACCATGATAAAAACCCAATTAAATTGATTAAATAAATTTCAGTGCGGTACTGAGTTTTGGCAGTGCGGCACCCGCGCCGCACTAATTTTGACCAGTGCGGTACTTTTTGGCTGGAAATGTATTCTCACGGGTGCCACTGACACTGGTTCGGCACTGGTACCAGCTAGTGACCCATCGCATGCAAAGAAGGGTTGCATTCTGCATTTCATATTACGTTTCGAGGAAAAAGATAAACGTAAAATTACAAATACTCACCCCTCCGTTTACTACTAATACGAAAAACATTTTCCCGGCCCGTCCATGAGTGGAAACATGCTGCATGACTCGACGAATTGAGGACAAATTGAGGATTTCCCAATTCGATATACGTCTCCATCAAGATAAAAAATAAAGCAGTTGCATAAAATCTCAGTGCGGTTAAGAATTGAATAAGTGGAGGGAATGCATTACTCCTCTGAGGTGCAGGAATAATTTGGCTTGAATTAATCTCAGTAAATCACTTTTTCAGATAAATACCGTCGGTTGAACAGGAGAAGAAGATAAACGGCTACATTTGACCTGAGGTGTTATACATTTTTTTTTCCGTGGTTCAAACCGCCAACATAGATATGCCAAGAAGTGCCCAGATGTGTTACATAGAATGGACATTTCTTCAAACTCTGAACTGAGATGAGGAAATAAACACATGAGAACGTGTTTCTCCATTCTATTTATTTTGTCGTTTTGGTGCTCTGTTCTGTAGAATCATTTAGCAAGAAGTGAAAGAAAAGGAAAGATCTTACTGGGTATATTCCTATTATCACGATTGACTGCCACCTGCCGTAGTGAATGTACTTGAACCAAGTAGTTGCGCAGATTCGGTATCAGCACAAAAAACTGAGTCGAATGAAGTGTATTTCAAGTCAATTTGAGAACTTCAAATTGGTCATTTTTGACAGTTGTTGTATACAGCGTCATTTTTCAGCAGTCATTTTTCGACCTGTATACAACAACAACTTTGAATTGCCTGCACCTTAAGTTTATTTTATAAGTTTGTAACGATTGATATCGTCGTGTTTATAGACCAGTGGTCACCGCACAAGAAAAAGTGTGACTGACTTGACCAAGTACTTGGCGGAAGCAAGTGAAGTAACGGCGCTTCTTGCTCTTGCTAAAGTCCTTCCCAAGTATTCATCAAGTACAGAATCCTGTTTTAGAAAAAACCTCTAAAATTCTTATGCCTTAAGTCACCTAGATAGGAATCTCTTTATTTTATACAAGTATCTTTTGTTTAGTTTTAGGTCAACTTTACAATAATAAAAATAAATGTTTGATTTACCATCCCGTATAAAATTCGAAACGTATTTTGGTAATCATCATAGGGATGTGTGCATTGTTTTAAATGAGTTAGGTTTTTATAATGGACGTACACTATGTGAAGCGAAATGGAATATTGCAGATTCATTAAATGCTATTTATTCAAAATTAAACAATGAAGCCACGTCGCTATATTATGAAATAGACGGAAAATTCGTTATTAAACCTGGTATTGTTAGCGGTATACAACAGTTAATCAATAATTTAAAAGAACTATTAAGAAAAAATAATAAACGAAATTCACATCATAATCATGATCATTCAACAACTAGTGATACAATGAGTGATAGTTACACTGAACCATTAACTAAAAGACGAAAAAATGCTAAATATAGAATTCTACAGCGTGTTACATTATCAAGTCGAAATGATCAATCATTTAGTGAAAACGATTATATGATTCCTTATATTCCAATCATTCCATTTCAAAATTCTGATGATGAAACAATCTTAATTCAATATGAATCGTGTTCAAGACAACGTATATTACATTTTATTCAAGCACATCTTCATATACAAGAAAGTCAAGCAGCACAAGTTCAGAGAAAATTATTAGAAGAATTTCGAATTTATTCAGAACGACTTTATCAATTTTTACAATATGTTAGGAATAATAAAACATTGTTAAACGATATTGAAGACAAAGTAAACAATAAACAACATCAACAACAGGAAAAATTTTCATATTTAATTGAAATTCTTAAACCATATTTTAACGACTTTAAGTCTAAATGTCAATGTTAAGTTTATTGTTGATTCTTTTGTATTTAATAATCTAAAGAAGAATATTTACATATGACCAATAAATTTTACAGTTCATTTTACAGTTCATTTATTTTTTTCTCTATTATTTATTGCACAATATTGAATATCAGATATTTAAATGTTGTATTCACAATTAAACAATGTTATTTAGTGTTCTTTTTTTCTATGAAATCCTATTATTTGTTATTTTTAGTTTATATACAAAGAATAAATATGTTTGAGATTCTTATATCATACAATGTGTCTCAGTGATATTATTAATTATCGCTCATTCTGATTGTAAATGATTTCATAATTTGATTTTAATTTAAATGACTTTGTATACTAATCCTTTATATAGATCAATCAAAGCATCTCTATCAGCTTAAAGTCTGAACTTTTATGTAACTATTCCAATAATTAGTTTCATTTTTGTTTTTCCTTTAAGGACTTTTGACATTAATGATTTACTATCAAAATACGCGTAACGGTCTTTGTATAGTTAATAACAAAGAAATGTAGCTGACAGCTTTGTGAATTATCTAGATTATCAAGCTTTTCTAAAAATAGTAAAGTTGGAGACGTAGAGGAGATAGTAGGATCTAGAAATGACTAGTCAAAATAAGTGTTTGTCGTTGATGCTTATATCATGGACATTGCAATAGAGAATGTTTGATTGATTCGAATGTTTTTGAACGAGTTCATGGTTTAGTGGAGAGAAATTGACTCTCATTTGATTTAGAATGCAATTATATTCACGGTCACTGAGTTTAAAACGTTTCCACTTATAATTTTGTAAAAAGAAAATTTTTCCGAACTTTTTTTAATTGTATATGTTTTACAGTTGGACAGGCAATATTTTCCTTTGTCTCAGAACCCAAGAAAAAAGGTGTTTTTGAATTTTTCTGTGCGAGTACGAAATACATCATAGTTATAGTGACCAAGCATTACTCTTAGATTAACCGGCATCATATTTCTATATCAAAATAATCATTTAAGACGCGCAAATTAATTATATTTAGAAATTCGTTAATTGGATTCAAAACAGTTGAATCAAGATATTGTCATATTCAGATGTATATTTTGTACAGTCAAACAATCAAACATGTTCCTCAATGAGTTAAATAAATTTTTTTGAATTCACTTCATTCTTTGTTAAAAGTGATCTGAATTTCATGACAGCACTTTAAGGTCGTTGAATCAAATGCTACATAATTCGAGTAAAAATTTATATCTTCAAATTTTTCTTTTACTCAACAGATAGAAGAGTGTCTGGAAAATATGAAAAGCTGAACACATTTTTAATTACTCAGTTATTACAGGTACCACGTTAATTGGAGTGTCAAAAATCGGGTACAAAAATGTGCTAAAATTAAGCAAAACACATCCGACGGCTACTAATCGCTAGAATTAAGCGATCTTGTTCCAGTTTTCACTTTATATAATAGAGAACAATCTCATCTATAACTTCTCTATTTATGATTCATGTAAAATCGGCCTCTGTAAGTCGGTGGAATTTAAATTTATTTATTTAATTTATTTAAATTTTTTCCGTGTAAATTACACGGACTGACCATAATTACTCCATGAAAAATAGCTGCGTGACCATAATCACCCCAAGTGACTTTTTTTCGAAAACACACATTGTCGTAGTTGCTAATTAATTAATTAACGGCAAGCACAAATAGCATGCAATTCATACAGGTGATAGAGCTTGAAATTCTCTACAAGATCGTATAATTTTTAATTATTGTCTCGAAATCCCCCGTTGAAACTAAGTTGACTTAAAGTTATCACAGCCATTTTTGCTGTATTGACCATACTTACCCCATTTGGGGTAATTATGGTCAATCGAAAGGTGCTCTCTGGAAATTGATTAGTACTAATTAACGCTAATGAATTTTAAGAAAATTTTTAGATAAATCGATAGCCAGGAGTCCACTTATAAATTAGAAGTATGTAAATATATATATGCCAATGTATGTATCCACAACACAATCAAAGGGACTGAAATTAAAGAAAATAAAACAAATTAGAATTTAAATGCGGCAGAACGGCTGAACGACCGATCGGCTGAGCAACCGTCCTACATTTTGAAATGCTCCCTTATGCTGGTCTCTCCCAGTGTTAAACTTTCCTCTGCTTAAATGTCTGTGTTAAAAATTTCGCGCTGAACTTTCTTCGTGTTGTATTTTCACCCTTTCTTAAAAATGTACTAAGATAATTGGTTTTTTAGAGATCATTTCTGAAAGACCCTC